CACCCATACCTGTCTGCTCCTCATCATATGATCTGGTATATTTTTGTCATGAATCTGGATTGATATTTTGAATAAATACAGGCTCCAGAGAACCATGATTGCAAGTGGTTCCATCCCGTCAGTCATCCATTGAGATACACCGAAATTATGAGTTGAACACTATCGTTATCTTGCTGAAGGCAAATCACGGTCATTCCTTAACATTTACATCCATGTAGTCCGCATTCAAAACCCTAATGACCCAGCTATCTTCAGTAAAAGCTTGATTAAGAAGACGACCGACAATGAGTCGCAGAACGATTCGTCGCGACAATTCATTGCATGAATCATAATCAATGACGGCTATTATTGTCCGATTCATCATTATTTCGAATATAAAACAAAAAATTAAAGTAATTAATGTTTAAAGCAAAACAATCCATGGATATTGCTGTTTGTAAAGAGACATTCGCTCTGATTTAATTTAAGTATCCTACGAAGCAATGGCTATCAAATGACATATGACAGTTTGTTTGATTTAATCGGTGATTTTCTTTCAGATAAAGCATTCTTGAATTTTGAGATTGGGAATGATTGATATAGCTCATCGAGTTAGAAATTTTTGTCAATGATTGTTATCAATCAAATTAGTTTTGAACACGAGTCTGAATTCATTATAGACTAAAATATTTTTTTCATGTCCAATCGAGACTTCCCTCTTAATCAAGTCTGTACTGAAGAAAAGGTGGTGTGATACAGAACTTGGCACGGAGTTCGAATTCGTTAGAATATTAGAAATCTGGATCTAGAGTGAATTTGATGGACTTCACTGTAGTATTTAGTATCATAATTAGATGGATAGATTAAGATAAAGAAGAGTTTTTTTGTTGTATTTTATTCAAAACATTCGAGCTTATTATTTGATTCGAGCGAATAAAAATGAAACAATTCTAACGACATTTTCATATCTACTGACTATTGTGTTAGGCCTAGATTCAAATCTGATCAGCAAAAATTTAAAGACTCTAATGAACGTGAAAAACAACTTTCAGTCTTTGTCTAGTTTTACTTTTACATATGCGATGAGATATAAAAATATTTTGATTTTACATATTATTTATCTGTTTCATTTCGCAACAAACTGGTTACCACTTGTTGGCCTAGCACCAGGTGAGAAACTAGCTTGAAATAGTGGAGATATAAGTTTCGATTGAAAAATTCCAGCAAGTGATGAGACGTAGTCTTCACTGGAGTGTCAATAAACTCGAGTTAGTCTCAAATAATTGACTCGAAAATGTTAGCACTAAGCACTCTAATAAGCTCCCACAAGCTTCTCATAATATTTTCCGAGCTGTGGTTCAAGGTATAGGCGACATAGACCAGTAGAAAGAGTTTATTATGGCACAGCTTTTCAATCGATAGAATGTGAGTATTAGTATGCAGTGAGCTTTGAAATCAAGAAACTAGGTACATTGAACTGAAATTAACTTTGTGAATTTACGCAGTAAATTATTCACAATGTGTTGAACTGGAAGAATCAATCCAACAATTGGATCCAATCCGATTTTCTATCTGATTGTATCAGATTCCATCAAAAATTTATAAGATCAGGTTGAATCTTATAGAAATATTGTAAAAAATCGAGACCAGACCATTTTCTACAAGGTACGAATCATCTTTCCTGTTACTTTGATTCAATATTTCTTTTTTCCTCTGTTTATGATATCGATGATTTGACAGCGACGATGTCAACCAAAAACCACACATATGATGTCGAATGGCTGTCAAGTAAAAGATTGAATTACATTCATCATAAAAATAAATCTTTTTCTTGCAATACGATAAAATAAATGATTTCACCGATTCACAGTATTGGTAACATCGTAAATACTTATTTTCTCTTTAGCATAAAAAAATCTATTGATATATTATTCAAAAATCTTAATCAAAACTTGTTGTTCATATAAATAACAAGAAACACGGCAATCGTGATAAAAAAGTAGTCTTCATTTCTCCGTTTAATACTGATAAGTCATGAATTATATGTCGCTTTATTTCAATAAAATTTCATGCTTAGTAAGAATAACAGAATAAATTGTTCTTATAAGGTGTGATTATTTAAAAAACTTTGAGAAAAAAGATCTTTTCTTTTTCGACTGATCTGATGTTGTATCTTTTCTAACAGGAAATTTTATCTCAAGATGTTCAATATCAGATTTACTCATCGATAAGCCACGTTCATTTTCGACTCGTTTCATAAAACCATGCATTGTTTCACCTCCCGATTGTATTTGTAATGGCAAAGAATTTGGTTGCTTTTTCATTATAACCGAGGCACCACCAGGCACAAAATTCCTATTTGTTTGTCGTTCAATATTTTTATAATAAACATCATCATCATCGTCACCACTATCATCATTGTTATGGACTACTTCGACATGATGAGAAGCACTTTTACTTATCGATAGACCACATTCATTTTCAACTCGTTTCATAAAATTATTTAAATTCTCACCACCTGAGTGCACACGAAGTGGCACTGAATTTGGTTGATTAATCATTCGAATATTAGTATTATTCTGCAGAAAGATCGGTTTGTGGGGTGTGGGTGTGTTAAAGTTACCACGATAACCTAAATTAGATTATTTCGATGTTACTAACTCATTCTTATCAAGTGGCCGAAGTATCTATGTCAGAGGGTGTGGGTGTGTTGAAAATAGAAATGATTCGAAAATTGGGGTGTGGGTGTGGGTGTGTATAGAAGCTCAAGATTTTTTGATTTAGAAACATAAGCGAAAGAGACTTACGACCGGTTTCGTCCTTGCTAAAGGGACTCATCAGGTAAGTTTGTGTATCTAAATTCTACTGCATATCGAACGTAATTCGAAGTCGAAGCAGTTCTATATGAGGGTGTGGGTGTGGGTGTGGTTGTCAGTATCAATCACAAGATCATTAATACCGATACATTCACACCCACGCATCCCACAGCTGCACCTACGCCCATGCACTGCACACTGGTAGTCCATCACTCACGCTCATATGAGCGCTCATGAGCGTGAGCAGCTCTGTCCACTTTTCTCAACTATACTTTCAAAAATCGACATTGCCGATTTTCATGCCTAGAAGGGTGTGGGTGTGGGTGTGGGTGTGGGTGGGGTGGGGTGGGGTGAGGGTTGGGTGTGGGTGCGGTGGGGTGGGGTGAGGGTTGGGTGTGGGTGGGGTGGGGTGGGGTGGGGTGGGGTGGGGTGAGGGTTGGGTGTGGGTGTGAGTGTCGGTGTGTGGGTGTGGGTGTGGGTGTGGAGTGTGGGTGGGTGTGCGTGTGCGTGTGCGTGTGGGTGTGGATGGATGTGAGTGTGGGTGTGCGGATGTGGTTGTGGGTGTCGGTGGATGAAAATAGGGTGATATCAGAATCACACTTACACCCACACCCTAATTAGATAACATTCTAAACTAAATCACTTAATTCAATCAATGTATTGTCTACAATACATGTATGACGAATTGGTTTGCGACGAATTGATCGGTCACCCAAAAATCTATATTCAGTGAAGGATCAAAGTGATCTAAACGCTTAACGAAAAAGCTGTAAATAATGTAAATGACTAGCACTCTTGAGGTCTCGATTTGTTGATAGTTTCCGATCGAATGACTATTGTATTATAATTGGAAAAAATAAACTGAAAACGCCTCTCGTCCTTCGCAGCTCTATTCTCAGAATCATCATTCACAGTTTTTTCGGGTGTGCGTCGTTATAAGTCTTCAATTCATCCACAACTACCCGATTCAAACTTGTCTCAATATATTTCAAAGTTCATTAGCAATGGTTTTTGACAAAAGCGACAAATTAAGATATGATGCACACAAGATTATTTTGTCATTACTATGAAGAAGAATGATTGGGTCGATCTATAAGATATCAGTGTGCAATGTTCAATTTCACACAACATATATCTTCTTTTCCATCGCGTTCTCAGTTTACTAAGCTCCGGCTGGCATATCATAGGAAATTAATACTGCCTCGAGCATCCATTCATCAAATCAAAAAAGTCATTGAATCATCCACAGTCCCTTGCATATGAGATCATCAACAGTTTATGTGCGTTCTTGAACCCAACACAACATCGAAGAAACACAATGATCTTTTATTTTAAAATTGATTTCTCTTACTCTGGTCTAAGGATTGTTAAACTTTAAAAGACAACATAAATTGAGTTTCAAAATCCATCGTTTAATGATGAATAGTCATATTTAGTTTGAAATCCCCAGGTTTGACTGTTGCCGTAAATCGTTGAAGTTGTCTTCGTTGACGAAGAATTTTTTCTCGAAATTTTATGTTCACACCACTTATGGATGCAAGACAGATGAAAGGAATGAGAAAAATCACAAAATAACAAAGAAAAAAGAAATACTGTGTGGCATCGATACCAATATCTGCTGGCAAACCACATAAATGAGCAATGGTAATAATACCGAGTGGAAAGGTGACGGCCATGTTAAGTGAAGAGAGGGACATGAGCTGAATTGTCATTTTGCGCAGCTTACGCCATTGCATTGGTAAATGAGAATGGCATTTCTGCCAGAAGACTCGAAAAAGGAAAACAAAACTAAAAACTGCTTCGAGAAGTGATGGCAAAGCAGTATTGGTAACCGAATCCCATATGCCCATAATTGGATCATTTAGATAGCATGGAGACCCATCGCAGACTGGTAACGTATAATCGTAAGCATTTTCACAGGGAAAATAATAAATGACATAAATATAATAAATGAAAATATATAGGATTAAAAAAAGCAATGGTAAATAATGTATCAATATACGCCTCTTTCTCGTTGCAATCCATTGACCGTGAAATACGATAATATGTCGTTCCAGAGCGATCCAGGCCAAAAGTATGGCTCCTCCGTTGTACATACCAATATCCATAAACCACCACAAGAGACAGATCGAAGGGTTTGACGGAACAACACTCGAATGTACGATAAAATTGAGATAGAGAGGAACATCAATTAATTGCGTACCCAAGCCAAGAATGAGCAAAATAATGAGAACATGGTTCTTCACGGCAGAGCGTAATTTTCGATCAATAAGGACACAGAAGAGAACGAAGAATGCACAAATGATAGATAGAACATCAAGTAGAAGAAGAATCCAAAAGCGAGCAGCACGTGGTAGGGAGATTTCGGTGCTGGCGAATGAAATGCTTCCCGTGTCGTTTGAACTTTGATTGTCTGCCATCACTGAAAGTTTCAAAATAATGGAAGGATAACTTGACGCAGCAAAATAAACTAAAAGGCACATCGGGGATTGTCCAGATTTGCAAATCGACTGACTGCGCAATTCTTTAGAAAGATGACATATGACATCATCCCAACAAATTCCGCTCAATCCATGCCCAAAACTACACCCAAACACTTAATAAAAACGAAATTTATTATTGATACTATATTAATGCCCATGGAGCAAATTTTCGTATTTTACTTATGTGACACGAGTTTTTCAAGATTTATTATAGTGACTAGCTTTGAAAAGTTGCACATTGTGCATTCATATAGTATCTTTCATAACACCTTTGTTTTACTTCTTATTATTCTCTTAGATAATTATCGAAAATCATCTATGAAACGCTTCAGATATATGTCTTTTTATTTTGACAATCAGTGAAATTTTTTCATTGAAGGCAAAAATACACTTGACAGTAGTATTTGCCTACTTTCTCTTTATGAAATAAAGTTTATATAAGCTGCTACTGCTTATAAAAAAAGTAGCCTATTTGAGCAAACGTATTTAATTGTTTTATTGTAGTGGCTGTTGCATGATCCACCCTTTAGGATAAGAATATTTGCCTTTCGATTCTGCGAATTATTCAGTGGCACTGAAAACGCATCGATTATTGTAAATCATAGAAGCTATTTTTGTCGGGGTGTAATTTTTCAAAACATTATGTGTTACATTTTTATATTGTGGCAAACTTTTACCAAGAGAATCTAGTGAAATGTGCTCCAATACTAGTGTAAATAGACGAGTTTTAGGTACACAAGAATGACGAGCTACAAACTATAGGAATGGTAATAGATTGCAATAGAATCTGATGATAATGGTCATAGAAAAATCTTTGATTTTATTTCAGTCTTCTGTAGGAATATATTTAGCAATGTGGGAGTCAATATTCTATACCATGTCTTCTTGTTTTCAGGATCGAGCAAAGCTAGGCTCATCGAGTCGACTCATTACTTGTTTTTTAATGTTATTAATTATTTAATAATTATTAACTTCATCAATTTAAATTTTTTCAATAACTTTCTGATAGTCCAGAAAGAACAGTTCTACGAGAAAGAGTTAAGCGAGTCCGCAGACGAACGTTACTTGTATCATACCCAATGCAAAATTTGTATGAAAAAGACGAAAGTGAACGCATTCATCAAAATATTGGAAAGTTATGTTGTCTACGATTATTTCGTTCTATAGTTTGGTGAATGCGTTATAAGCCCGTAGGAATACATTCTGCACCTGAAGAAAAGCATTCTTTGTAGTTTCGCGCTATCATTAAGTGCTTTCTTTTTCGGTCTACAGTGGTTCCTCTTCTGTATAGAACACTATCTGAACCATTTTCAAAAATTATTCGAATGGAACTTCTTTCGTTACTTTCTTTTTGGAACGGTCAGAAGAAAATTCTGTCCAAAGGAGATCGATTTCTTTTATGTTATCTTTAATAATACTCAAGAATGTTTTTTTTCGAATCAATGGACGTATTCTAGATGACCGAACATCATTCGTAGAAAGAAAACAACGTGTTCTCTATCGTTCTTCAAATCGCCTTATGATTTGCTGTGATTTAAAAATTGATCTTCGAAAAATATAATGCTATCATCGTAATGACAAACTGGATGAGTAGCTTACTGTCACTGTCGACAATGATGTTTATTGAGCGAATTCGTAACTCCAGAATGTAATTACTTCGCATTCAACACATGCTTATATAGGAGAGAGTAAAGGAGTGAGATGAACACTGAAAAGAATCATAGATAGACAAGACGACGAGAACAGAGGAAAGTAATATCAGCAGGAGGTAATAACAATATTAGCATAATCATGATTATTTGTTTTCTTTCAAAATTAAGAAAAAGAGGAAGTCACCTGAAGAAAAATGAAAATATTTTTTAATGAGGTTATTTATAGAAGGTTAAGAATTATAAGAAAACATTATTGCGCCGTAAGTTTAAGCAATAATTAAATGACCTTGAAAACTCCTCTTCACTAAATATTCTGTAAAACAGCTATTGATTTCGCTTTTTTTGAAATCCTATTTTTTTTCTTTGATTGATGAAAAATAAATAATTTATTTGTCTTAATTTTTTTAACATTAAAATTGTATTTTTTTTGCGTTTTAAACATACATATTTTCTATTTCTATTTTTATTTCATGAAGATTAAATAAAAAGCGTAGTCAGAATCGTCTGTCTGTTAAATGGAAATGGAAACATGCATTTAAAATAGTTGATAAGATGAAAAATACTCTTTTTTTTTCTCTCTGCTGTTTTGTCTGATTTAAGTAGTATGTTTGCTTCTAATTTAAATCATCAAATTAGTTTAGTAAGCAACATATTAGTCTTGTAAATAGAGATCTCCTTAAATTCAAATATAGAAGCAACGAGAGAATAAATATTAAATCCTAAAAAAGAACTAGCTTTAAGACAGAAGGAATGAATTCCAAGCAGTTTAGAGAAGAAGAGAAGAAACAAACGGTTCCAAATAAGTTGGAATTTATTTTTTGCAATTCTTTTTACGAGATTGGCTGAGAACATTTTCTTAGGAAAGTGAAATTCATTATTCATCATTTTGAATGGAAAAGACCAAAAATGTTTTCTCAAATAGGTGAAAGCCTTTTTTTTAAAGGAAAGAAAGCCTTCTTGACCGTTCCATTTTGGAACACATTCCACTTTTGCTGGCACGTTTTATTTTCTTAAACCAAACACATTTTATTTAATAGAAAACGTTCTTTGCCTTTCTACACAACGAACATTTTTCAATAGAGATCGTTGGATATAGAGGTAAACTTGTTAACAAAATTGTGTTTCTGGTATGAATCGAAATGTTAGATATATATTTGAATATTTTAAAAGAATATATACGATTGAGACTGGCATCGAATCCATCAATTTTAATATCGATCATGCTTCTGATACAAATTTTAGTTCATGTATCATCCATTGATAAAACTATCGTGGAAAATTTTTCTCATAAACATTTGCAATCAATTCACTGTGTAATAATGATTTAAAATACACCCATTTTTTCATTAATCGATATCAAAAGTTATAAAAGTATCGGGTTGTGCATAACCTTTTGCTAGGGGGGGTAGCGCTATTATTTCAAGTTGAATACCTAATGAATTTTATATCAAATTAAAGAGCGTCGAAAACTGGATTTATTAGTACTAAATAGTAAGAGTTATCAAAATATATTAATGTCGAACTTACGAAATTTTATGCTTTTTTTAGCATAGAAAATTAAGGCACCAACAATTTTTTATAGGGAAGAAAAACACTCGATTTTCTCAATAAAATTAGCTTTTTCCATTATTTTTACTAACAAAGACGCTTCGGGATATACTTGTTAGACACAGTTTTTCACGCTGCATCGGATGAGTCTATTTCGAAGCGTCTTTATCAGTAAAGATAATGAAAAAAGCTAATTTCATTGAAAAAATCAAATGTTTTTCTTCCATATAAAAAAACCTAGTTATTAGAGATTTTTTTAGGATTTTACAAGTAATTTTTAAAATTTTTTATCTCAGAAAAATGGCTTAAAAAACTTCTGATATATACAGTTTTGTAAAGCTCAACGAGCTCTATCGAACCATGTAAAAATATCAAAAGAAAATATTTCACTCTATATTTGAACTGCTGGTGCCTTAATTTTCTATGCTAAAAAAAGCATAAAATTTCGTAAGTTCGACATTAATATATTTTGATAACTCTTACTATTTAGTACTAATAAATCCAGTTTTCGACGCTCTTTAATTTGATATAAAATTCATTAGGTATTCAACTTGAAATAATAGCGCTACCCCCCTAGCAAAAGGTTATGCACAACCCGATATATTGGTTGATAGAACGGTCACATGTGTATATCAACTTAGAGTGTAGTTGACGAGCAACCCCCCCTTCCCCCCCACCCATCCACAACCGCATTCACACCATGTTATAATAATACGAGCAAAAGAAGTAGGAATTTATTAATCTATAATAATATTCAAATACCTGCTCCCAGGCAAAGTGACTGTTACAGAGCACAAAGTGACGATGATGTCAGACATCGACGAAAAATGAAAATGATTTCTAGAGATTATTGTTCATTATGGGTATTTGACGTCTCGAGAAACATTTTTTATGCGTAGAAAGCGCCTCACCAAGACTAACATATAGTAAGTCCTGTGGTTTCTAATACGTCTTTTATATTTCCTAGACTGAAAGGATAGAGCCTACAAACGGAAATTCACCTGTGTCTGTCTGTAACACTTGGTACAAATGACCATTTTTGTGGTACAAAGTACCATAGTTGTGGTACAAGTGACCATTTTCGTGGTACAAAGTACCACTTTGGTGGTACAGGCGACCATTTATTTGACACAATTGGCCATTTTCATTATATAAATCAGAGATGAGCGAGTCAGCAAAAAAGTCGCACCGTCACCGCCCCGTCCCGCACCGCTGATAAAGTTCCGCACCGCCACCGCCCCGCCTGTTTAGCATTGACACCGCCACCGCCCCGTCAAAAATATGTTTTAAAAAACTATTTATTGACAAATTTTTCATTAAATTTTCATAATGGCTATTTCATTTCATGAGATGAAGAGGCATATTTTAAATCCATAAACATCGTTCCGAAATAGAAAAAAATAAACATATGGAAATGAAAGGCAATTATAATACAGTCACTCATTTTGTGGAACTCACGTATATTTTCGAATAAAATAGTGATTGTAAGTTTTAAGTTCGAGGTTTGGCGGCTCTCTCCCTTCCCCCACTCCATTACAGACACTCCACTCAGGGTTGCCAGATCTTCCGATACGGCAGGAAAAATTGCGATTTTTTAAAAGTTTCTCCAACGACTTTCCGACGTTCCGATTTTTCCGATTTTAACATATTTTTCCGATCGCCTTCAGATTTCCTAATTTTTCTCCGGTTTTCGAAGTCTTATTTGGGAATTCAAGTTCTTAGGACATTCTAGAATAGTTTAACCATGACACGACACCACACATATATAGCGATCTATTTCACCATAGTTATCGGGCAGTGAAGCGTCATGAACTCAACAAACCACACCGCAGTGATTTGAAAGCATATCCTCCAATAAAACTATGATGTTTTACAGACAATTAAGATCCAGCTTTCTATCACGATGAACTAACTTTCTCTGTTCGTTTACTATAGTGTTAATTAAGAATATTTTCGTTTCTGAGCTTTTTTTGCTTCATCACAGATATCATAAAACTAATCATAATCGTATGGATACTAATTTAGCTGTTGCAGAATTGAAAATCGGAATGAGTTCTGTTTATACTTGTGGACATTTTTATGAATATCTGTTACCTCAACCTGATATTTTGAAGAGTATTCGAGCTAATAAAAAAGTATGAACAAAAACGAACATTATACAGAATAAGTCTTAGTTTTGTTTTGCATAAGTTTTGTGAAATGCATGTGTGTATGAATTTACAATACTGATTCTATTGTTTCGTCAAGTTGGTTATAGCATTTTTGATAAAAATAATGTGATCCTGTTCAAATTACTTATGTAGATTTCTCAATCATGAGTAAATTGTGTAATTGATATTTTCTTTAATTCTTTATGAAATATCATTTCTGATATTGCTTCGAAAAGATGAACAGAAGCAAGATAAAGGATATTGAAGCTATCGAAAATATATAGACTAGTTATTTAAGCATGGAAAAATACTTTCTGATTTTCTTCCGATTTCGAGAACAAAAATTCCGACTTTCCCAAGTTTTAGAAAAATTTTTCTGATTTTTTAATTTTCGATCTGGTAACCCTGACCCCCACCATTACAGACCTCAGCAGCGCATAAAAGGCTCTAGTTTTTATATAATATATCAATGATTTCATACGTATTCGGAAAAAAGGTATTTTACAATTTAAAAATAAGGCATCAGGACAAAAAATTAAAAAAATATATGTGAGTTCTACATTTTAGCTCCTCTGGCGCTGCGCTAACAAGTCTTTTTTTACTGATTAGTTTTGTGAAAAGATTTTAAATTTTAAAAAGATGTCTCTAAAGGTCTGAGTATATTTAAAAAATCAAGGTTATACAAAGGCGGGGAAACCGCGAAATTTCGTCATGCACCGTCACTGCCCCGCCCCGTCAAGTTTTAGCACCGCCCCGCCGGCGGGGCGGGGCGGGGCGGGACGGGACGGGGCGGTTTTACACCGCGGCTCGCTCATCTCTGCTATACACACCTACTTTGAGGTGATTCTACTACTTCATCTATAGCAGAATTTAGTATTATGTATTGATTCGAATTTATTTGGATCTCTTATACTGATACTTGTGCCATTTGATAAGATTTAACTGAGCCAGATCGAAATACCAAAGGTATTGTGGTAGCTATATCACACCCACACCCTCCGAAAAAATTTCATGATAAAATTTCCGTTTTTTTTATTATGAAACAGCTTTCAAAAGGAAATATATCTAGTCAGTAGTACTCCAACGTCGTATAGGTTGTAGAGTATCGTCATGATCAACTTCCTCTCCTTCATTCTGTCTGTAGTCAATAATAAAATCATCGGCTGCTTGTGTGTCGTTTCCTGTTATGCGTTCTTCAAGTTGCGACTGATACATCATAGCAGTTTCTTGATCATTTTTATGTACAAAATAAATTGCAATTATTTTCTCAAGTAATTCAACAATTTTCTCGGAGTTTTTTTCTGGACTATCTTTTCGATAGAGTTCCAATAATTTTTTCGAAAGACATAACTCTTCATCATACATGTCAAATTGATCGTAATAACTAGTTAATTCTGCAGCGGCTATACTAATACTTTGGTTATTGATGTCATAACATTTTAACATACAGTCAAGTTGCAATTTTAAATATTTTATAATCATGGATTGAATTTCTTTCATCTCGTCTTCATTGGTATGGTTATCTGTCTCTATTACAGATATAAGTAACTTTTTTCCATACATTTCATGTAGATATTCATAGATGTGGATCTCTTCAGAACTTGTTAGACCTTTCTTGATTGCAATTTGATAGTGCTTGATTGACAGATCAAAGTTTTCTCTAGCCTTGCCGGTGTGTTTTATATGAAAATAATAGATACTACCAATATCATAGTAAATTCGACCAATAGCAATGTTAACATTTAATTCTTCATCATCTTGATATTCAAACCAATATTTTAATGCTTCATCCCAGTTTGGTAACGCAAGAGTATAATTGAAATCACGATCGATGTTATACTGTGCTAAACAAGACATTTTTACTGCTAAAATCCACTTTTCTCTTGGAAACAATTCCATTAAGTGATTGAATACAGTCTCTATAAGAGAAGCTGTTGCACTACAAAAATCTGTTAGTGTTTCCATCAATAAATCAATGTAATATCTCATTTTTCTTCTCTCACCAAATCCTTCAAGCATTCGATCGTCTTCTTTTTCAATCGTGTCTGAGACGAGTTCTAATTTAGCAAGCCAAATTTTTCTCTCGACATTATAATAAATACTATTCTCCGTCATTTTGAATTCTAGACCTGGCATCAATAGAGTTTCGGATTCACTTGGAAACCAACTTATTGTCGAGATATCGGCGTAGGGAAACGATTTTTCAGCTAGATTCAATTCAATTTCGAAGAGAATACTTTGTAATTCATCGTCTGGCATTGATGTACCAAGATAGATTTCTGACATAGCTGGATCAAAAGTTGTAGACATAAAACTACTAGTCACAATGTTATCAATCGAGTCTTTTAATTTTTCAATTTCCGTCTTTGACATTATTTGTCCACGATATACGGTAACTTTCGAATTTTTCAATTGTTTTCGAAGAAATTTTTCATGTTCGCATTTTAGTTGTTGATACAAATCTCGAAGAAAGAAGCCAAATAGAAACATAAATTGAATATTTTTTTGTCTTAGAACACGATTTACCATACGATATAGAAATGTATCTTTTGTATACTCTTGAATTGGATTCCTATTTGTTGTAGATAAATAACTTAGCAACAATTGATCTATATGTCGTAGTTCTGATGGATTTGTCGAGTAATATTTTCTCATTATTGTGACAAATCGTTGGAAACAATCTTCTGGATATGGTAAATGAACAATAAT